TCAGTGTTTCGTATATCATGTCGAAGGTTTTCGGTGTTGATGTTGAAGAACTGGCTTCAGTTTTTGAGAACAAAGGAACAGAGGAAATTCAGATTACACCGGTAAGGCCCAAAGACTCTGAAGAAGTGGATGAGGAATTTGAGAAGAAAAAACGAAAGTAATCCGCCTATCTTTCCCCTTTTCTTTAGAGTTGAGGAAAATTTGAGGGAACATATAAATATTTCGGCAAGAGAAGAACATTTAGAATCATCTAAGGACTCTAAACTGTCTTCAGTGTTGGAATCAACCCTGTCTAAGGCTCCTAGAATAAAGATATACAAAATCGCAGCTCTTAGCACCTGCACTCATGAGGTGTGTAAATACACGTGTATATTTTCACAAATGTGCAATTAAGGTTGCGTATCCTCCGGGCATACCGTTTAAGAAGTTGGAAGTGTTTTCTGAGCCGAAGATTCTAACGTTTCCATTTACCTTGGATCCATTTCAAAGTCAGGCCATGCTCTGCATTGACAACAACCAGTCTGTAATGGTCTCGGCTCATACGTCCGCTGGCAAGACAGTCATCGCCGAGTGTGTTTCCTTTTCAACTACAAATTCACATTTTGCAATTAATTTATGCTTTGCACTGCGTCATACTAGATATGCGATTGCCAAGGCACTTCGGGATAAACAGCGAGTTATTTATACCACTCCCATCAAGGCTCTTAGCAACCAGAAGTATCGGGAGTTTTCAGAAGAATTTCCAGAAGTTGGCCTTCTAACTGGAGATGCTACGATCAACATCAACGCTGGTGTTCTCATCATGACCACAGAAATTTTACAGTCAATGCTCTATCGGTAAGCGTCTTTTTTCGGAAATCTGTGGTCTTGTTTGCAATCTCTTTGCGTTTGAAGTCTCCCTGAGTAAATGCTACTTGGCGATTTGTTGAAATTTTAAATTATTACTCACTCACCAGCCTTGTAATTCACCATGAATACCTTTTACTTTCACGAATCGTCAAATTCATTTCTTGAAAATATGTTGTGATATACTAAAAGTAAATTCATATTCGATTTGGTCCTGCATATTTTCAAACTACGGATATCTGTGAAAAATAAAGGAACACGTGATCACTATTACCAACAACCTCGTAGCTTTGAAAATAGGTATAGGTGTTCCTTAATCTGAGTATGCGTGGAAATCCACTGTTTCTCCACTTCCTTCCGATCTAGAGGCTCATCCATAATGCGTGAGGTGGGCTGGGTGGTTTTTGATGAGATTCACTACATGCGTGACCCGGAACGGGGTGTGGTATGGGAGGAATCGCTGGTACTACTGCCAGATTGCGTGCGTTTCGTCTTCCTCTCTGCCACAACACCAAATGCACGTCAGTTTGCTGAGTGGATCGCTTTTCTTCACGCCCAACCCTGCCATGTGGTTACAACAGATACTCGACCTGTTCCTCTGCGACACTATATGTATCCAATTGGTGGCGATGGTCTCTATTTAGTCCTCAATGAGGTTTGTCTTCTGCTTTCTTGTCTTGCTCATTGATTTCTGCACCCATTTGTTCTAAAATCATGAGTCGAAGATCATTGATTGACATCGAACTTCACAGAAGCCCATCATATCATAGGTCATGCTAGCTGGGAGTCGAGTTATCGAGCTGGTATCTTCTATGCTTTTAGGTTGCTGGTATCCAAGTAGACTTTAGACTACCGATTCGTTTAGCTCGTCAATAAGATTTGTCAACTTGTGTCATTACTGATTTGAGGAAATTTTACATTTAGGGCATATTCACTTACTGGGAATGCTTTTAAGTTATTAATTTTAAAGACAAGGCTACGTTTTGGAATGGCATTTATGCGGAACTCTCGCTGTCTTTAAGCAGTGGCACCACCATTAGGTTGTTTGTTTACTTCGCTATTGTAATAACGTCTGTTTTCTTAGCCTTAAATTTTATGGTTGAAAGGCGAGGTTACATCGGTTTGGTGGTAGGCATTACTTTTCTACAAATGTTTTAG